AATTACATGTGGATCAGTCACTCCTCATTTGACACACTTATAGTGTAATACTTTGACCATCCCACCTGGGCACATGGAGGCCCACGGTAACTCTCACGGGGCAACATACGCACGAACACACAAGTTATGATATGAACCCTTCCAGGCTTCACTATCTTTATCATGTTATGTTCATCGTGCTCTGTATCTTGGTAACTAGTCATAGTATCAATACATGACAGAGTTATTAGTATAATATTGTAACTTTTTACCTACGGTTATTGTTGTAATTCATGGACAGGAAGGATACATAAATTGTATTATCAAGTGTATGGTTCGCTCAAAGCCACCCCAAGTCAGACAACGCGTCACATAAAGTTACACTGTGTGTGTGTGTGTGTGTGTGTTCCTGTAACATTAAGCTTCATCCTTAGTAGGTAAGATGTTTCATAAAGAGGTTTCTCCCATTCGTCATTGTGAGCATCGTCCCAGAGCACATTGTTTCCATCAAAACCATGGTTCATCCTTATTTCCCTTCTTCCGTGTAACTATATCCATATGGTTAAGTGCTTGCTTTTCATTTCCTTATTTACCAAAATAATGTGGATCAGTTACTCGTTATTTAACACATACATGCACTTAGAGCATCAAGATTGTTTTGTAGGCATGACTATTGGTTAATTGAAACCCCAAAAATATTTTTCACATTTATTATGCATAAACATTGTAAACATATCTATGTGATTATTGTAGTATATAACATGCATTTAATGTCTGGACAGATTCCGAAGAGTTATGCATATTAATGCATAGATTTTGTAAGCATATTTATGCGAAGTGACGTAAAACCACATAGTAAAATACCTGGACAAATTCCCGAGAGTTAGGAAACGAAGTCTATGTGGCCCCAACGAGGTTACACCAGAGAGCTAACTCCCCCGCCACCCCCTACAAGGCACCGTCGTGGGCGGAGATTTAATTCTTGACCACAGGTTAATACCGTGTCCAACCTCCATCTGCTGCTATAACTTCATGCAATCTGGTGGGCATGGAATCTACCAGATTGTTGCAGATTTTCGGCCTCCTCCTTATTCCCTCCCACACATTCTGTGCGTGTCTCCTCACTGCCTCACTCGTTTTCTCCTCAATGTCCCTTTCAATAACCATATGCGCCCATAGATTTTCTATTGGATTACAATCGGCTCCTTTAGGGGGCCAGTCCAATAGAATAATCTGCGGGTGCGCCTCAAACCAACGCTTGACTGCCCGACTTGTATGTATTGGACTGTGGTCTTGCACCATACATATAGGCTGTGGGTCTAGGATGGCATATGAGCTGCCAGTTTGTACAGGCATGTACAAACTGGACAATTTTGTAATTTAGAAGATTTGTAACCAGGTGAGAAGGTTGGGTCACCTTACCCTCTGACCTGACTACCGTCAGTTGCGGTGCTATTTAAAGATTAGTAGGGTCATTACCTAATACCTGACCATTGTGGACCTGGTCTCACCCTCCTCTGTATATATACACCTTGTTTTGTACTTCTCTTTAGTCTGTACTCACCCCTGAAGATGTGAATTACACGAAAGCACTTGGGAACTTCGTGTTTTCTTCTTTCCTTGTGGTTATTATATATTTCATATATTTCATGTTATTATATATATATATATATATATATATATGTATATATATATATATATATATATATATATATATATATATATATATATATATATATATATATATATATATATATATATATATATATATATATATATATATATATATATATATTTCATGTAGCTCCACTATGAAAACGCGGATAAGATAAATCTTGATAAAAGATAAAATCACACGGGAAAAGGGAAACAACGGAGCACCTTAGCTTTCGTCTTTATTCAAGACATCTTCAGGGGCAACTGGATTACATGGACAGAGAGAGGCTTAAATATACAGGGTGACCTTATTAAACATGAGGTCAGTTCATAATGATATCATCCACTAATCCACCACACCAACACCAACACACACGAAGAGGAGCTGATAATATGTTACATAAATTTATTTGACAATGCCCCTTGGTTAAAAATGCTTTGGAAACCTTGGATCTAGATGTAGGATAGTTATTTAGTGAGTCCCTTATTTTTGACCTGACCTGACCTTTGAGCAACCGTGTCCACACTGATACGGCAGGCCTCCCTACACACGACGTCAGGTCGGTCATTCCTATGTCCTTTGGTTCTTCATTTCGTAACTCCAGTGTGTGGTGCTTTTCCTAACGTCCAATGATTAAACGACATCTTTTACGGTTTGCAATAAAATGCAATATTACAGTATATTAATATAGATTTTCCTCCATGTATTGATACTATGACTAGTTACAAAGATACAGAGCATGATGATCATAACATGATAATGATAGTGAAGCCTGGGAGGGTTCATATCATAACTTGTGTGTTCGTTAGTATGTTGCCCCGTGAGAGTTATCGTGGGCCTCCATGTGCCCAGGTGGGATGGTAAAAGTATTACACTACAAGTGTGTCAAATGAGGAGTGACTGATCCACTTGTAATTTAAGGTTTTTGAAACATGTAGTTAAATTAAACACGATTTTTCATATAGTTAGGCGAATGATGGGGAATTAAAGATATAGATGGGGTGTGGTGGAAGTGCTGTAAACGTTGTGTGGATTCACTGGGATGTTTGGAAGTGTTTATTTCCATTCATACTTTCGTTACTACAACCTATGGTAATTTTTCTTCGTGTTCATATATAATGAAGATAATGCAGAGTATAAAATGCCTTATACAATATTTATACATAATATCATCTATACAGCTGTACAATGACTGTGTGTGTTCGTGCGTGTGTTGCCTCGTGATAGTTAGAGTGGGCTCCCGTCCAGAAAGGACACTGTACTAACCTCCAGCACCGACCCAGGTCGGCTAGAGACTATGGTTTCCGAGTGTACATTCAGGAGCCAGTGCATTCCCAGTACTAGCCAAGAGTGCGTAACAAAGACGTGACCGACCAACCAAGCGGCTATGTAGCAGATCAGTCGCGTAGAGGATAAAAGTAAAAAAAGCTAAACAAATCAAAAACAGATGAGTTAGAAATGACAGCACAATATGGCTCCCAACCAACAAAGGTGAACGTACTAAAGATAGAATGAATAAAATGTTCAGAAGAATTTTGAGTTAACACTCAATTACAATTATATTCATACTGACAGCTTCCAAATTGAGCATTTCCTCGTTTACTATTTGACCAATTGTATCTGCTGTTGAGGCAGGAAATGTTGTATCTACTACTGAGGCTGAAACTGTTGTATCTACTACTGAGGCTGAGACTGTTATTTCTACTGGTGAGGCAGAAACTGTTGTATCTACTGTTGAGGCATAAACTGTTATTTCTATTGGTGAGGCAGAAGCTGTTGGGTATCTACTACTGAGACAGAAACTGTTGTATCAATTACTGGGGCAGAAACTGTGTTATCTACTACAATACTGAGGCTAAAACTGTTGTATCTACTACTGAAGCTGAGACTGTTATTTCTACTACTGAGACAGAAACTGTTGTATCAATTACTGGGGCAGAAACTGTGTTATCTACTACAATACTGAGGCTAAAACTGTTGTATCTACTACTGAAGCTGAGACTGTTATTTCTACTGGTGAGGCAGAAACTGTTGTATCAATTACTGGGGCAGAAACTGTGTTATCTACTACAATACTGAGGCTAAAACTGTTGTATCTACTACTGAGGCTGAGACTGTTATTTCTACTGGTGAGGCAGAAACTGTTGTATCTACTGTTGAGGCATAAACTGTTATTTCTACTGGTGAGGCACAAACTGTTGGGTATCTACTACTGAGACAGAAACTGTTGTATCTACTACTAATTCAGGAACTGTGTTATCTACTACTGAGGCTGAAACTGTTGTACTTTGCACAACCATAGATCGAGTTATACAATTATTACTGCACTTCAACAACAAGATAACCTGTACTCCATTCCACTAGTGCATCAACAATTAAAGTTCATGAGAGAAGAAAAATCTGTTTACCCCAATATGTAAGACATGCTAAATACTTATGTGAAATGTTGTCTCTTTGTTCTAGATTGATTTTAATTATGTAAAATTTTTAAAACACACATCGAAATATTTGTTTAGCCTGTTATGTATTAGATAAAAATAGGATTAAATTAATGTGTAAAAAAAGAGATAAAATTATTCCCTGGCCACATCATCTCCCTTATATCGTTGGCTGCAAATTAACGAGGATGAAGAAAAGATCACGAGCTGTGTTAATGCGGCACTGATCGACACTGGGCACATATTGTCCTGAATTATTATGTCATTAACGTGACTTAGTGATAAAAGTTACAGTATAAAACCTGAAGAACAACTTACCATACTACAGGACGAAAATGTTTTGGCTTTTTTAATTATAATGTAAATCAACCTCAGCTCTTGATTGTATTATTGTGAGCGTTTTATCTGTGAATTAGCACATTGTAATTTTGTTTTTGTTCCCCAAATATCTCTCTCAATGTTTCAAGCTCCAAAAGGATCAGGCCCGTTATCGTTAAATGACAAAACAATGAATATAAAGGTAAGAATACCCCTCCCCCCCCCCAAAAAAAAAAACAATAATAATAATAAAAATAGCGAAAGACACTCACTTCTGATTTGAAAATTTAAAAGTAAATCCTTGAAGAGTTCGATGAATATAAATTAAATTTGATGCAATAATTGTTTAATCTTGATGGTCAACAATTACATTTTGTGTAACCGAGAGCTTTATCTGTTTCCGGCCATAGCCATAAACATGAGGATTCCAGCTGTGACTTAACTTGATGAAACCAAATTGATATTCTGAAGGCAATGACCAATATTATTCAAGCAGTAGAGCACAAACACACGAGACATGTAAGCAAAAACAAAGAGGCCAAATTCTCGATAATTTCTTTAATAAATAATAGCTGACTCAGTTGGTAAATTTTATCTAAGATACATACGATTGTGATGTAGAAGGTGCAGATGAACCCCATGATTAGGGTGGACTGCCAGGTAGTGAGGCCCGTGACTGTTGTCAGAGCTACTGTAGGCGCGTACAAACACATGCCCATGTAGAGGAAGTTATTAAGCAGGAGACACAAAGTTGCCAGCAGTCTCAGCAGTCGTGACCGATATCTTAGCTCTATGTACTGCAAGATATAGCAATGGTTAAACCTTAGTAAAAGAGATTAAAGAGATTATAGTATTTGCGGAATGATAGGGTTTATGATGACTTTATCAAGAAGAATTTTTCCTAATATTAAAACTCAACAATTTATGAGAAGAACAAGTACCATCTCGACCGAATAATTTACCTCGTTGATGGAGACAAGGTTGAGGTTGTAGAATATGGGAAGTATGACTATGCCCAAGACGAGACAGCCCGGGATACAACCCAACAGCACCGTCGCGAGTTGTGTGCCGGAGAAATATACCTCCGTCGGGTTACCTGAAACACATATAGGGTGTTAATCGAACACGGAAATTATGAATAGTACCATAGTGAGATTATCAAATTTTATGTTTAGAATTTGTAGCATTGTCCTCTTACGTAAAACATAAAATACATTTCTACTTAATACAATACCACAATGTGTTGTTTGCTGAGTTCATGTTCACGATCATTACGGCAACATCATTGTCTAAAGTAAACTAAAAGGTTTTGTACAGTCATGATGTAACACAGTAGACCATTTGCTGTCACCATTTCTTTTTATCAAGATGCTACCTTGGCCCACCTGAGAATTGATAACTCGAATATATACTTCAACTGTCAAAGTTAATGGAAGTAGAGGGCGGGGAAGGGTAAAATACACAAACCAGACGATAAACAATCCCATGTGAAATCTTAATCCAGAGGATGAAACTACACATTATCTAATCCAAGGAAATGTATTGTGGTATTAGCCGATGAGATTGTGTAGATCTGAGAGAGTGGAAGAGCTTAGAACTTAGTGACACGCCTCTTGACATTTGATGAAAATAAAAGCACATACTGTATACGGAGAGATACTCACCAGAGACTTAAAAAGATATCTCATAGCTTACACAGAGAAGCTTAGAGGTTGGTTTTAGACATTGGTTATGGTCTTGGGAAATATTTACCTTTAAACTAGTAACTGGTGACCTTGTTTTAACTTTATATATATATATATATATATATATATATATATATATATATATATATATATATATATATATATATATATATATATATATATATATATATATAACCGGTCGGAATTTGCTGGACTTTAATTTCTCACTTGACTTGGGGTTTATTAAAATTTAATAGATGGTAAAGGCAGTGGAAGCGCCCCTTTGAGAAAAATCCCGAACCAGCACAAGAACACTTAAATCTACTACACAAAATGAACTGTCCGTGACCCGTGGAAGGATAGCGTCTGTGACTGGGATGAATGAGACACACTGTAAAATTTAGACACTTATATTCCCTCCAACACTACAAACACAATCAAATAATGGTACACCAATATGCGCACCTCTTAACTTAAACTTTAAACACTACTCTGGGGAATAAAAGTTATACATGACATAGAAATTATTAGAAACACAGGCAACAATAAATTTGAAGTATTAAGAAATGTTGCTTGCACACATGAACAGGCCTTAAGGGCTTTCACAAAATAATATCAGTCACTTAGGAAATGGTACTAAAAAATAAGAAATTAAATACTCCACAATGAATAGGCCTTAAGGGCTTTCAACAAAATAATATCAGTCACTGAGGAAATGGTAATAAAATTTAAGAAATTAAATACTCTACAATGAATAGGCCTTAAGGGCACTCAACAAAATTATAGCACCCCAACAGATGTACACTTCCTAACCTAACCTACCCACTACTCTGGGGAATAAAAGTTATACCTGAGATCAGAATTATGAAGACCAATCAGATGCATTAAAAGAATCAATCACAGTATCACTCTGGTTCCACTTAATGGCACAAACATTCAAAACAATATTATCAAAATTATTTAAGAAATATTAACTACACACGTCAAGATAATATCAGTCTGAGGAGTGGTGTTAACTACACCCGTAATAATGAAGATAAAATGTTCCTCTAGGTATCTCCTAGAGTCCTAGACTCACGGTCTCAGTGTGTGACCATTAATATACTCAGATAGCCTCAGTGTACTCCCAGTGCGTCCATGGGCAGGAAGAGAGTGAGCCAATCAGACCTTGTGCAGTTGAGAGAAACTTTAGCTTCCCGTTAGCAAGAGGGTTTCACTAGCTGACCGAGGACACGTGGTGTTGTGCACCGGAGTGGTAAGCACTGATCACCCACTGCCGATGCTGGTCCCGTGTCGTTTTAGTTGTCGGGAGCACTCGTTCACTCAAGAGATCCTTTGCTACCCCGCTAAACAGTGACAGGCCTACACTGATCGGTCCAATGGCGACAATCGCCACCCTCAATCATCAACGGCAGTCAATCTCTCGCAGTCAACTCCGGTCAACTCCAATCAACTCCGGTCAACTCCAATCAAGTGGGTTCTGACGGAAACCTTGTTATACTGCAATAGCGCAGCACAGGTGACTAGGCCACGTGACTATTTCTGATGGACGCGCGGAACGTCTTGTCTGTGTGAATGCTCTCCGGGACTGGGCCTAGCCAGCGTCGCGTCTCCCCAAGGCGCTAGCTTGGGCCTACGTGATATATTTTCCGCCTAACTAATAACTCCTTGGGACACCCGTAACATTATTCAGACTGCTAAACGATCTATAATAATTTCAAATTCAATAATAGTCCCTTAACTTCATGAATCGTATCATTATTAATTCGGTAAATTACATTTAATATCATATAGGCCTAGTTCCGCAATCTCTCGCTACGAGCAGGCAGCGCTCCCTCCCCTCAGATGACCTTGAACGCTCAGTATCACTCATGGCGGGGCATTTGAAATTACTCTGAAATTTCTGAATATTACAATCGACCCCCCTAAAAAAGACAGCACTGTCCTCATGTGCTGAGAAAACATGCATACGACCCCCCTAAAATTTTGTTCTAAGGACTGCACCTCACCCCTTTAACGTGCTAAATGCAGCATTTGTCTTCTCTTCTCTCCTTTTCTCTCCCGCTAACATATATATATATATATATATATATATATATATATATATATATATATATATATATATATATATATATATATATATATATATATATATATATATATGACTATACTATTATTTCAAGAATTAGACGAAGATAATAATGATCAGTATCTCAGTGATGGTGTATTTACTAATTTGTGAGAAATAAACACAATATAACGGTCTCACCCTCACTCTCACCCTCACCCCACCCAGTGAATTCCAGGAGTTTCTTCGGGGACTAAAAAATTCCCCAATTTGTGTGTCTGAGGGAGCACCCAGACACCAAGAAACGACTAGAGTAGGTTGTGGACTGTGGTCGTATCTCAAAACCAGTTGTAAGCTGCATGGAAGTATTATTAAATTACTTAGAGCCTTAGATCTAATTATTTATTAGTACTGTAAATTCTACTACTGTATTGAGTAGTTTGCATTTAGACTTCATGAAATACTGCTATCACAATGTAATTCAGTACTGTAAAATGTATAGTAAATACAATTCATTGCAGCAACGATATAACATTGTACAGTAAAATCCTCCTTTTTCACTCTGCTAGAGCTGCAGATAACTTTGGTTAAATCAAGGGTTTGTGCTAGGTCTCTCAATGCTAATGAGGGCAAGATCAGATAAACGCTCTTCACCCACGGTTGATCTCAACAGTGTTAGTTATAATAACATTACAGCAGTAGGGTGTGTCATACGGAGGCGAATTTTTTTTTTTTAGTTTGAAAAATCGGCCCATGGTATTAATGATGTAGTTCTAAGAAAGTAATGGTGAGGATGAGAGCAAGGGTGATAGTGAGATTGAGAGTGAGAGCTAGGGTGAGGGTGAGGTTTAGTGTGGGGTTGAGAGTGAGGGTGAGGGTGAAAGCGAGGGTGAGGGTGAGAGTGAAAGTTAACGTAAGGGTGGGGTAAGAGTGTAGGTGGGAATGAGGGTGAGTCTGAAGGTGAGGGTGAGAGTGAGGGTGATAGTGAGGGTGATAAAGGGGGTGAGAGTGAGGGTTAGGGTGAGGGTTGGGGTGAGAGTGAGGGTGAGGTTGAGAGTGTGGGTGAGGGTGAGTGTGATTGTGAGAGTGAAGGTGAGGGTGAGAGTGAGGTTGAGGGTAAGATTTAAGGTGAGGGTGAGAGTTTGGGTGATGGTAAGGGTTAGGGTGAGAGTGAGAGTAGGAGTGAACGGTAGAGTGAGCGTGAGGGTGAGACTGAGGCTGAAGGTGTGCATAAGGTTGAGGGTGAAAGTGAAGGTAAGGGTGAGGCTGAGGAAGAGGGTGAGAATGGACGTGAGGGGGAGGGTGAGGGTGAGTGTGAGAGAGAATGGGTGAGGGTGAGGGTGAGGGGAAGGGTGAGGGTGAGAGTGAGAGAGAGGGTGAGGGTGAGGGTGAGGGGAAGGGTGAGGGTGAAGGTGAGAGGAAGAGTGTGGGTGAGGGTGAGGGGAAGGGTGAGGGTGAAGGTGAGAGGAAGAGTGAGGGTGAGGGTAAAGGTAAAGGTGAGGTTGAGAGGAAGGGTGGGGGTGAGAGTGAGAGTGAGAGTGAGTGAGGGTGAGAAAATTTGGAGAAATAATTTTTTACATATTATAATTTGTGAGGAGAGAGAGAATTTTTTCGTATTTCTCACCAAATTATTGATCATTACCGCGCGTTTTCCACAGTTCAACACCAGTGTGTATTGAGAAGGAATGGCCAAGTAAGGGAAGCACAGTGAAGGTAAGGACGCATGATGAACATAGGGAAGAACATTGAAAGGAACTTGAGAAGGCAGGAAAGCTCAAAGCTTATCGAAGTTATTAACACACAAATGAGACATAAGAGTACAGTGGTAGAGTATTACAGTGAAAGCAGGGAACAACGTGAAGCTAGGGAAGCACACAGCACAATGATGGTAGGGAAGCACACTAGCAGTGAAAATAGGGAAACATTATGAAGGAAGTGACGCATACTAAAGGTACAAAGGCAAAGTGAAGATAAGGAAACATAATGAAGGTAGAGAAATACACTGAAGGTATATGACACAAGTACAGTGAAAGTAGGGAAGCAGAGTGAAAGTTAAGGAAACACTATAAAGTTAGGGAGACACAGTAAACAAACACAACCCACAGTATAAGTGAGTCAATAAGACAGGATCTCGCAGTCCTAGTATCTAGAAAAATGAGGTTCACAGCCTGGTACTGATGTGAAGAGTGAAGCCTTGAGTATATATATGAATGTTCTTTTCGTGAATATAATACTGCTGTAATAGGGTGTGTCATAGTAGGGAAGATCAGCTAAAACTCATGGCCCATCACTTTTTTGGTAGATTTTAGTGTATATAAACAAAATAATTTCAGTTTCAATATT